GCTTGGATTCAAGACCCATGGACACGCAATAATGACTATATACTATTGCAATGCCACTTAAAGGCCCCTTCAATCCATGTTACTAGTACGAGTGTTTGCTCTTTTGAAGCTGAATGCGCCGGCATTTTTAGTGCCCTCAAAGAAAGTGTCTGACGTTTGTGTGACTGGCAGAGTTTAGCTGTGTGGCGGATGGCAGTTCTTCCAGCAGTTACTGCTTTGAGTGGGTCTGAAGAGGAGAACATCAGTCCATGTCTTTTTCTAGATTGCTTTAATCAACGCTGTAACCAGAAACGGTTGTCAAGTTGCCTTCAAAGCTCGACATGCATTCGAAACGCGGATGCCTGAGAGGAGGACGCTCCGGTTCGCAAGCGGCCCGCGGCGGTGGAGCGGCCTGAAGGTGAGGCGCCTGCCAAGAAACCAAAGGCTGAAGCAAAGGGAAAGGCAAAGTCATTACCAAAGAAAAAGTCGGAACCAACGGGAAAGTCAAAGGCCAAGGCGGAACCAAAGAAAAAGGCGGAAACAGCAGAAGCAGAAGAACCGAAGGCAAAGGCCAAGTCTTTGCCAAAAACGAAAGCAAAGGTGACTCCCAAAAAAGAACCAGCACCAGTTGAGCCTGAGGGAGGAAATAGCCTTGCTGAAGGGGGTGGCTCTTCCAGCGCGCCTGCTCCATCTGTGATGAAGCGCCCATCTGCTCTTCGCCGCCCATCAGGCCGGAAAGCTTGATTCTTGTTTGGGCTCATTGTGCGCCATCATTACTCTGCCCGAAGTCTTGTGCCTAGTAGGTGGTGGGAGTGGTGGCGGTGGTGGCAGTGGTAGCGGTGGCGGCAGCCATGTCACCAATGTGTACAACTATGGGGGACGCCGCTTTTGCATCAAAGTTGATGGGAGTGAGATTTGCGCTCCTAGCCTGTACTTGGTGTGTCAACGTGTTTCTTCGTGCAGGTTTCGTGATTTGTGTGTCCTACACTAGGTCTGTATTGGATTGGCTTGCGCTTTGATTAAACTAATATCTTGCGTTGCGCTTCTGCTCGGTTCTGCGTCCCAATCTTACAAACTGGTGAAACTAGGTTGGCGGCATGCGTTTGGATCCACAGAAGTGCCGCGAAGCCATCGTGGGCGACTCAGAAAAATGTGTGAGAAAGAGTTGCGCTTAAAAACTTTCGGACGCCCCGTCACCGTCTCTGAATGTCCCTATCAGGAGATTGTCCGAACTCACGCCGTGGGTGGAGACAGCTTTAACTTCTGCCGCCAATTGGCTGCCGCGTCCTCAAATCTTTTGGATTGACGATGACTGGTCAAAACTTAGACTTGGACTATCGATGTTTTTTACACATCAAACCCTGACTCGCAAGTCTGCTGACCTTATGCCTTACGTGCTGCTGTTATTATTCAAATCTCTTGCAACGCCAAATCAAAATCCTGGGAGGCTTCTTTGAGGGCTCAGATCCCAGACCAGGGTGCAGGCAGCAAAACAGCCAAGACTGTTTGGGCCCATTTCATGAAACTCAATGAACATGATACTGGCATTGGGTAACAGTGAACAGTGGGACGTGACCTGCCTTGCTGCTTCTTCCAGTCACAGTATCCACCCAAGCTATCCATGCTCTCGACTGCCATTGTCTTTGCTTTGGTCAGGCGATGATGCGAAGGCGGCGAAGGATGGTGGGATTGAGGAAGACGCGGACCTTGCGAATGAAGGTGGGGAGGAAGAAGCAGCGCAGGACGACGAAGTGGTGGAGACAGACGACCCGAAGGATGTGGACTGATCGTGTGACAGACACTGTGACTGTGGCACTTGTGGATGCTCCCGCAAAAAAGGTGCAGCGCTGGATGAGTTGAGCAGTGACTGTTCTCTGTGACAGGTATACTCAGTATACTCCTACAAGGCCTTTAAGCCGCAAAAAGCTTAGCAAAGCGCTCATAGACGGCCATGTTAAGGACAGTAACAGTAGTGGAGTTGAGGTGGGGGGCAGCTTGGCCTGAGCAGTTTCAGGCCCGCAGGTTACGTACTGTAAACCAGCATTGCGTTCTTGGATGTCCCCTCAAACTGGTGGTGATTCTGGTCAGGGTGCTGCCTCATGCTGTTAAATTCACCCCGTGTGAGTCAATGTTCACGATCCCTTTGGGGCCCAGGGGCCCTTCAGTCTGTACGCGTCGCCTTTGTTGTCAGTGGACTGTCTCATGGCTCAGCTTACCGAGCATTTACAAGTCAAGTCAAGTTTGCTGTTAGTTCGCCGTGCTGGGCAGCCATGCTGGCTGTTCTTTGGCCCTCGTCAACCAAGAGGTCACACAGATTCTGGCTTCTGATTCTGATTGAGACGAGGGTGAAGAAACGAAATTAATTTGACAGGTTTGGTCCAACGCCCAATGCCGTTTTAGATTTTGGACGATGGGCAGGGTACGAAAGCCTCATACTATTTAAATGAAAACATGTTTATTTGTCAACTGCTCTGCCCACAACCCAGGATCTGGCTTGTGGCTTGCGGAGTCCATCGAAGTGAAATTTTTCAAACAATTTGGAGACCTTCAGAAACAGCAAGCTGCCACCTGAGATCAAATAGCCGAACTGCGGATATAATTTTCCGGGAGTTCGCTGCATTGCGTGAGCTCAACTCAAGCCCGAAAACTCGGTATGCCTGACGCCTTGAGTTTTGAGGCCTGTCCTGGGTGAGGGCCCTACTAAAGCCATTCATGTACGTGTGGTATGAATGAAGAGTGAAAGTTAGAGCAAACATATTTATATACATTTTGCTGTCCATAAAAGACTTAGTGAAGTACTGTTTTTGTTTTTACTAGTCGCGTGCCTCCTATCGGCTCACCCAGGATCAGGATTTAACTGATGTTTGGCGATTGGACTTTCAAAACTTTGTTGCGCCAAAAAGGTCTCTCCGAGTCTCTTTCCTGAAGCGTTGACCAGTCATCACAGCTCTTACCACCACTAAGAACTGTTCACACAGCAAAACATCAACAAACAAGGGCTACCAAACCAATTTGAGGTGGGCTTTCCAGGGCAGGGAGGAGGTAAGAGTAACGTGGTTCCTTCATGATGTCGCCAACATGGCAGGCCAGTTCAACAATTGAGACGGCGCATGATGTTTTTCACACCATCAACCCACTGTCAGTGGTAGCTGAGGGAGAGAGTTTGGGTGGTAGCTGAGCGAGAGAGTTTGGGAACCCCATTCATTTTGGGAACCCCAATGCAAGGAAAACTCTTTAATAGCGTGATCCCTCTCACGACCCAGGAGGCATCTCAGGTCTTCAAAGACCCAATCCTCAAGAAGAGGATTCTGCGGTCAAGAGCCGCGTACAGAGACAAGGCAAAGGGACAAGGCCCGCTCAAGGCCAAGACACGGGTCGTCGCCTTGGGTCATCTCGACGTTGTATGCGATCTTCATCGCAGGCCACAACAACATGTTTCTTGATGGCCATGACAAATGGCAGCTATGGTGTGGTGACATCAAAACCGCATTCCTGCAGGGGACGCCAGATCCTCGTCGTCTTCCGCTGTACATGCTTCCACCTCAAGATGGGGTAACCAAGCTTGCAGGAACATTTCGTTCACCGCTCTACAAGATTGTTGGAAACATCTATGGCCTTGCAAGCGCCCCCAGGACATGGTCGTTGCATGTTGTCAAGGAGCTCACCACAAAAGCCGGATTCCGCCAGCGTTCGCTGGACAAGATTTTGTTTTATTTGTGGGAGCGCCTGCCCGGAGATGAGCATGAGTCGTTGGCAGCAGTTTTGGTTGCATATGTTGACGACTTCCTCCTCACCCACAATGAGCGTTGGGACAGGTCCAAGCTCACCCGACTTTTCCAGTGGGGAAGTCAAGATGCCCTCACGGAACAACAGAGCCTGGTGTTCAAAGGAAAAGAAGTCAGCTGAAACGCCAAGGTGAGGTTTGCTACTTGGCCCTGACCCAGTCCAAGTTCATCGCTGGCATGAAAGTTGGCAATGTCGCATGCAAGAAGCGACTGGGTCAGGTGATCCAACCGGAAGACACGCCGGAGTTTCGCTCCGTTGCAGGATGTCTGCAGTGGCTTGCAGGTCAATGTCGACCTGAGGTGGCATCAACAGTTTCGTTGTGCAGCCGCGGAACAAAGTCCACCTACAAGGACTTGCAATGCCTGTATGATGCAGTACAGTTGCTCCATGCCTCACCAAACAACGGCATCAACATGTGGCCAGTTCCAGTCCACCAGCATAGTTTGCTGGTCAGCTTCTCTGACAGCTCATGGGCCAACGCTGAAGGCTCAGCTAGCCAGCATGGCAACTTGGTCCTCATCGCCGATCCCAAGATCACCGACACCACAGGGACGGGATTGCTGATAGATTGGAAGTCAAGCCGCAGCTGCCGAGTTTGCAGGAGCACCCTTTTGGCAGAAGCAAGTGCATGTGACACTGGAATTGATCGAGCCGCTTTCCTTTCATTCCTGCTGTCCGAGATGATTTTCTGCTGCCCTTCGTTCAAGCTGACCCGGACACTTCGCATCATCGGTGTCACAGACTGCAGATCGTTGTACGACGTCTTGGTCAGCGAGAATCCTCGCGCGGAGGACAAAAGGACCATAGTGGTCATCAGAGCAATCCAGCAATACCTGCAAAGGCCTGACGTTCACTGGGTTCCGACCCGCCTCCAATGGGCAGACAGCTTGACAAAGTTGAGTGACAAGCTGGTCACCACTTTCATGCACTGGCTTGAAAAGCCATGAATCCAGTTGAGGGAGACGGTTCCGCAGACACATCAAGCTCAACAGAATATCATGAGTCATGAGTGTGAAGTTTGAGCATGACATGTCAAGGAACCGCATGCACATGAGCTGATGTGTCCGCCGCCATTTCCCGTTCAGGTGCGCACTGAGCCTCGTTCGCTTTTTGTGAAAAGGCGCCGTCCTTTCACACCCCCATGTGACACGACACCCCGTCGCACGTGTTGTGTTCAGACATTTCTCACCCCATAGCCAGAATGATTCGTTTCACCTTGCTCACAGCCTGTGAAGGTATTGCCCTGGTTGCCTCCATTGTGCCACTGGACTTGCAGCCGAACTGGCCGCCACGGCCACACGGCAAGCACTGCACCCGACCCATCAACAGAAACTGCCATTTGCCGCGGTCTTTGCCTTGTTTTGATGATGGAGACTGTGGGGGGCCAGACTCCAAAGCTTCAGGTGACAATGCGCTTCTGGCACCTAAGTACTGGCAGGCCTGGTTGATTTAACATGATTTATATAACCAGTCTTCCTTGACAGCCACTCTTGTTCGCACAACACTCCTCCGGGAGTATGAAGTACTGAAGTAATTTGAAGTATAACTATTTGAGTAGGTTCTTGCGCTTTTAAATTTTAGCTTTAAGCCAATCATGGCGTGCGAGAAGTCAAGCTTCAAACAATGCTCATGAAGCCGCCAGAATTGAAAAGACCTAGGCCTTGATACAATATATCCGGTTTGCCGATAATTGCTGGATTTGACATGGGAGTTCGTCACTGCCCTGAAGGTTTGCCAGCATGGTCAGCTTTTGGTGATGCAGCCAGTCTCTGCGGCCGGAAAGGAAGATGGAGAAGCCATTGCGTTGGTGGCCTTGGCCTGGAATCAGCAGCTTGGCCCCAACTTGCGCCAACCACCGGGAGTCTTCCCCAAACTGAACCGGAACGACCCAGCCCCCGCGGATCTTATATTCTTCGTCAGGTGGGGAGATGCTGACTCTTCCCTGCGCCTGCGCTATGCAGCACCCACTCGTCTTACTCTCCGGCGTTCCTTGGCAGTGCATTTCCACTGGTGTTGGTGGCGCATTTTCAGTTTTGTTTTTGAGGATGCTCTGACACTGATCATCAGCAGTCAATTCCAAGTGGATGTCTCACCTATTTCGATCACAGGACATCAGTTATGTTTTGAAGGAAAATTCCGTCCTTCAGCCTTCAACCAAGGTACAGCTAATTCAGAGCCATCCTCATGCAGCGACGCTCGAGCTGCAATAGCCTTGCTTGGCTTAGCTTCAGTGTGCACAGCACCGGATTGGCGGAAGCACAAAAAATCGGGAAATGGTGCAGGTGTGAAGCTTTATAGTGATAGTGTATATCTATATAGATAGAACTGATAGAGTGACAATAGACTTGAACCAATAGGCCTCCGTGACGTGCATTTTGGATGCAAATGGTTTTTTGTCCATGCTGCATGCACAATATGAATTCGCAACATATTCCAATCTAGAAGTCAACTGCAGTGCTGCAGTGCAATTCGCTCTTTCACGATACTTTTTCAACCTCTGAAGAAGAATGATATAGGTTTCAAATATATATAAGTCTTTGAAACCTATTTGCATCCTTGATCCCAGCCTTAGCCCCCTTCATTGATTCATGGCTCTCTCATTTGGTTTTGCAACAAAGCGCATGCGTGCACTTGGGCACCACATGCAATTGCTGCGTTCGCCCAGTTCCCTCATGCATCAATGAATCAGTGATATCGTTCATAAGGCTGGAGCATGCAGCATACTCCTTCTTGTGTTAGAGATCGTGCCCTGCCTGCTCAGCTTGGCTTCAGCAGCAGCTGCTAATGGGATCTGGAACAGCTCGCCCATATTGGTTTGTCACAACAAGCTGTCCGACAGGCTCTCACAATGGTTTGTAGCAACAAAATGCCAGCTTTACTAAACCGCTTTGTTGACTTCAACACGCGTCATGCGTCAATGGCTTTTGGTCAGCAAGTGCAAGCTTCAGCATACGCGGTCGGACTTTGTGTCATCCTTTCAAGAGTGCATTCATGCACAAAAGCTCATGTGGGCTCGTGATTCATATATACATGTCCCCAATATTCCCCAATATCACATCGCTTAGCACAGCCGCCAGGTGGTTTAACAAGCTGGACTATTATAGATGCATCTATATGCAGTATACATTCATCATCATTCATCTTTAAAAACTGTTAGATAGGGTAGGTGTGAATATATATATATATATATGCATACAAGTACATGTAGATGACCACCACACGGGCACACTGGTGTGTTTCCGCAAAAATCTAGGAACCAAATCATTAAGGCTCAGGCTTCTTCAAGGCGGGTAGATTCCTTGAAGGAGCCTGAGCCCTAGCCTGCGTCCAAGATACCAGTAGCTAATTAGTAGTGACCCCTTACTTTGTGCTTACTCAAGCCCATTAGCGGCCTACCCCCCCTTAAAAACACATACATTCTTTTTGTGCCTGAGGACGCCAGTCCTCGAGAGGAGTGCTTTGAGCTAAAGCTGGAGATGATGCCCTTAACTTGGCGCCTGATGCAAGGCCGGAGCGAAAGCATGGAGACGAACTGGGAGACGAACTGACAACATTCTTGCCAAAAGCATCATGCCTGGAGAGAAGCTCAACGTCGCGACCCCATCGAGCACGTACCGTAATTGCAAGGATAAGCCTAGTCTTGTTTGTGCCACATTGTGCCGGCTGCTGGCTCGCCAGCCTGAACTTTAACTTAGGCAGCCAGCTTCAAGCTTGAAGCGGTTTCCCGTTTTTGTCTTCTCATGTTTTCTCATGTTTTCTCTATGTTTTTGGTGTTTCAAGAGCGTTGGGCGAGGCCTGGCACTACTGCTGTTTGCGGGAGCAGCTGCTGTTATAACCGTCTCTGGAGCTGCAGCAGTTCTCTTGGGCCTTGCGGTTTTGCTGGGCGTCGTGGCAAGCTGCTTGGAAGGTACTCGTGGGTGGGGAACCCTTGTTGAATCTTGTTCACCTGAATGGTGTTGGACGCGGATTAAGTTCGAATGACAAGAACGTTGGATTGATCCATACTACTATAGCGAAAAGTTATTATAATGATTATATATATATATGATATTGTAACGTGCCTAGCGGCGATCACGATTTGTTCATCAATACTTGGCCATACTTGCTCGTTGGCCCTGCGGCCCTGCCATTTCCCACGATTTATATAGATACCAGAGAACGCACAAAACATGCCGCTTCGAGAAGCGATGGGTGAAGGTAGCACGTGCTGCCCTACTTGACCTGAGCTTGATATGTGCACCTTGAGTGCTGGTGGAGTAGATTTCATTCATAGAAGATGCCCAAGCAGCACACACTAAATAATACTGGTAGAACTCGTGCTATTTCGAGGTGAGATGATTGAACAACTCCTGCCAGCAACGCTGAATCACACTTTCTATGAAACATGTAGGTTTTGCAAGGGGTTCCTTTCCCTAAGTCTACCTCAGCTCTAATTTGGTGCGTTGTGTTTTTGAAGGCTGTGCACCAGTCAATTGCTGCCGCCTCCCAGTGGCCACTTTGCCTTGGTTGCTTTGCACCACTGCTTTGGCATCAACTGCTCCACTTTGCCCAGAGGCTCGCGGGAACCTGCTCATCACTCGGGTGTTACATGCATCTCCTCAGTTGGGTGACTTTACCAATCAAAAAAACAGTTTGCGATGTATGCAGTGTCACTTACAAAATTTGAATGGCCCTGCAGGCAACTTCAAGCTTTGTGTGGCTGCCCCTTGCAGGAGGAGGAATGGGCCACTCGAATGCAACCGGCCACGGTTTTGGGTCCAACAAAGACAGGTGTGAGATCGGTTGAACTCAGATGCCGTGACCCTTGAGACCGCTTCGCAGGTTTGATTGGCAGCATCGCTGTTTTCACAAGTCGCTTGGCAGAGCCTTCACAGAGTGAATAACAATATTGGTTGCCAACAGAAGCCTGAGATGGAGGCAACCTGTGTTGTTGGAACGCAGACCTGAAAGGCGGAGGAGTTAAGGAAGGTTATCCAGCTTGACGTGATGTGACATGGGGGTGGTGCAAAAATAGAAGGAAGCAAGCCTCAATGACCTCCTGCCTGCCCCGCCCTCCCCTCCCGGGTTTGCTCGCATCCTACGTTGTGCATTTATTAATATAGTTTGGGGATCTCCCTGCAGCGCTTGGCATTTGCCTGATGTGTTCATGTGCCTTCCAGAGCACGTCCAGAATTACGTACTTATATAATATATACATTACCTGGAAGTTCTACACTTCCGTGGGCATCGATTCAGTATGTCATGGCACTTAAGAGGACATGGCCGACAGGATGCTTTATTGGGAGGACAGATTGAGCACAAAAAGTTGCTGACAAGGCCACATGTTCGAGTCTGACTGCTTCGGCTTCTTCTTGGCCCATGTCACATCCACCTTAACTGGCCTGGGGCTCGGGAGGCTTCAGGATTTCTAACCCAAGGCAGCGATTTTGTGTGGCTTGCTCGTGCCTATTCTGTTTGACGCATATTGGCACGAGGTGTGGTTTGTACGATGCTGGTGCTCCTAGAGATGGGCATGCGAGCATCGGAGGCGTGTCACTTCACATTGTGCAAGTCAAGGCCGAATCCGCGTGTGAAGGACATGCACATTTGTTCCCATTTTGGTCAGGATTCTGGAGTGGTTCAGGCAGCATGGTGGGATTTGGCCTCAGTGCCGCCCGAGCATCTTGTGCACCTTGGTTTATTTTACATGAAGACCTCCGGAAGCCCAAGCCCGAGACAAATGCAAATTCCACAGCCTCCTTGCTGTGGATGTTGAATGATGAATGATGTGAACATATATATATATATATCTTTGGATGTGTTTTATATAAATTACACCAGCATAGACCCAGATAGCTAGGCAGAATCCCACGACCTGTTGACATGGGACTGGCTCGAATAAGATTTACGCAGCCTGCACGGCCAGCTTACGGCACCTCCACACCGGCACCCAGCACCAGCACCAGCACCAGCAACCTGTCTCCACCACGTGCACAGCCAGCTCACAGCACCAGCACCGGCTCACAGCACCAGCACCAACACCCGGTAACCTGTCTCCACCACGCGCACAGCCAGCACCAGCACCGCCACCCGGCACCCGCCACCAGCACCAGCAACGCGCACAGCCAGCTCACAGCACCAGCACCAGCAACCGGCACCAGCACAGCCAGCTCACAGCACCAGCACCGGCACCCGGCAAGCACCAGCACCAGCAACCTGTCTCCACCACGTGCACAGCCAGCTAACAGCACCAGCACCGGCACCCAGCACCGGCACCCAGCACCAGCGCCAGCAACCTGTCTCCACCACGTGCACAGCCAGCACCAGCACCGGCACCCGGCACCAGCACCAGCAACCTGTCTCCACCACGCACAGCCAGCTCACAGCACCAGCACCGGCGCCCGGCACCCAGCACCAGCACCGGCACCGGCACCAGCAACCTGTCTCGAAAGCTCGCACGGGCAACTCATTGTTATTTGAAGTAAGAACCCCATAGCTTCGCTATCTGGGGCATAAAAAATACAATATGTGGTTGTGTGTTGTGTTGCTCCACCTCGCAGGATGGCCGGGCAACTTGGCGGCTTACTTTTTCTCATTGGCCTCTCACTGCACCGCTTGATCCTCGCCTTCTCCTTGCACCCTTTCGCGCAGCCCCTGCGAGCGCCACAGTCGGCCAAGACGTTGCTTCAGAGGTGGGGAGAGAATTGCTTCAGAGGTGAAAGCTTGACAAGCACGAGGATTGTGGTGTAGGGGTTGCCGTTGCTTGCCTTGAGAAGGCAGCACAGTCATATATCCTTTGATGCCGAGGCTGGACATCAAAAGTGCGTATCAAAGCAGCGTCCAACATGTCCAGAGACTGCGAACAGTCTCAGCATAGATGTAGGTTTGCAATTCTGATTTCGTTCTGATATCACTTAGTCTGGTACAGACCTTGACGGAAGGCTCTCCCGAAGATGGAATTGCTCCCGCCACCCCGTGCCAGCGCGGCACGCAGCGGGGTGCGCCAGGCGGCGCTCGCAAGCATAGGCGCTGAGAATCAGGGCGATAGGTTCCACTCGGGAGGTGGTCTGGTGTTTTTTTGGGCTAAGGCCAGGTTAAGTCAGTAAAAAGACGGTGATATCATGGGAGATGGCATTGTGTGCGCGGAGATGCTTATTGCTGCCTATTACTGCTTTGCAGATGGGAGGCCAGCTAAGCAGGGACGACTTAGAGCCTGAGGAGGAGGAAGTGGAGATGCAGGAGGCGGGCCATCACAGTCAACCTTCCAAGATGCTGACGAGCAGAACGTATCCACTGAATACTGTAGCCGCCCATCCGCTCAGGAGATTGAGATTGCCAACAGCGAAAGCAGCTGCTATGTTGCATTATATTAAGTTTTTTTAAAAACGGTGCTGTAAGGGCATCAGGTATATACATGGATGTCAAGTGCAATTGACAGGCGATGGTCTTTGTGCAGGTGTCTTGCAGGCCGGGCCCTATGCACACTGTACATTGTCAAATTGTCAAACTTGTTCGACTGTTGCGTGTTAAATTCACCATAATTCACTAATGTGGACATTTGGCAAGGCAAAGCTGTTCCAGCCAGACCCGGCAACTGAGGTGTTGCTGGAAGCCTCTGACTGGCCAGCTAGCCATTGTCTGACCCCACATCGCGTGCGGAGCGGTGTGCCTTGTCCAAGTCGGAGAGGTTGATGCAACTCTTGACACCGTTGCTTCAAATCTCGGTTTAAAACACATGATGTTTTTACTCACGTACTCCTTTGTTCATCATTCTCAGCCAACTCCTGGTGACTTCTTGGAAGGCACCGCTCATCCATTGGAAGCTGGTGCCCCGCTCCTTGCAAGATGAGGACCGAATTGGGCACTGGTGGTACAGGTGAGATATGGTGAGATACTGGCACTTGAAACCGCCTTTGAGGTATACTGCATGTTTTTGTGCTCTTCGGTTCTGATGTGAGGAAGGAGCGCATGTCAGCAACGAGGTGCTTCGGGAACTTGCATCCAGCTCAAGCGCAACGAATTTGCAGAGACAGGATGCACTGGAGCTTATCCCGACGATACAAAATTCCAACCAAGAAGTCGGATCAAATCAGCAAAAGCTGCAAGATGCTCTCAGCAATGGGGCAGGCATTCAGGCAAGTGGAAGCCAGGCTGGAGAGGGTGAAAGGCCTTCACGGGCTGGGTCCTATCCTTATGAGGCCCTAGCTCTATAATATCAAAGTGTAGCTGTACCACCCGAATCGCTTTCCTTTTTGCATCATGCATTGGAGTCCCAAAGGAGAGGAATCGTTTTCGTTGTGTAATTAAGTGCAAACGGCCAACCACCGGCCTCTTCCTTGTTCACCTCCACTGTAGCCTCGACCCTGGCTGATATGCAAAGGCCCAATGCACGAAGCACCGATCATGCGCACAATTCAGGGGAAAATTCGTACGGCGTCAAGAAGGTACGTAGCATGTAATGGCCGCCAGCCGGCGAGCGACAACGAGAACAACAGCAGTGGCAACAGAAAGAACTCATACCAAAGCACCAAAAGCAAGAGGAGCAGCAACGGCTACCGAAAACAAGAGCTGCACAACAGCAGATAACTAACATAACAACATCATACAACATCACCACAGCTGCTTGCTAGCAACTGAGGAACGGTAACTAAAAGCAGCCAAATACAACAAAACGGCAATATGTATATTTAAATCTATATATACATAGAGTAACAACCAAGCAACAAATATAATAAGAAGAGCAAGAAGAAGAAGAAGATGATGATAAACACCCCAAGAACAAGAACAGCGTCAACTAATTACTAGACAATAAACAACACCCAACAACCAACAAAGAAACTCGACATCCTCAACTCGTCCACAGGACGTGGCCCGACGTGTCGCGGAGCAAGCGGAGCCGGATGAGGATGGAGCTTCAAGCGGCGAAGTGGTCCTGACCATTGGGGACGACGGCAGAGAAAGCGAAACGAAGGGACGTTGCCATTCGGCTCACCCTCGAAGTTCGACAGCGGCCAGTGGCTTGAAAGGCACGGGCCTTGGAGTTTTGTTCAGCACCTCAATGGAAAGTCAAAGGATAAACAGATATAAAAAGATGTGGTCAAGAGTCAAGCTGGTAGAGCTTCCAAGTCCTAAAGATGTTGAGAAGTGATTAATTATGATTAATTTAATTAGACACGACACTTTGCTTTTGGTGGGGACTTCTCACAATATTATGATTTGAGGATATTCCAGGTTTGCTTCCAGAGCTGCTTTTGATTGCTGTTGCTTTGTTGTACTGTGCTTGAGGACAGGCAGCTGCAGATATGGTGTGAGATGCCAAGATTGCCAGCAGACCGTTTGAGCCATTCACGTCCTGACCTTATTGGTGATAGTTTGCATGATAGTTTTTGTAGTTTTGATTATTTTGGGGTGCTATGAAGTTCGATCACCATCTCAAAGGTCGACAGTTGACGTGGTCTTTGAACATTACAGTTGCTCCTGGTGCCTGGACCTGGCAGGAACCAGGGCACTTTTGCTCGCAAGCATCCCAAGCAAACTTTGTTAGATTTGCCCTTGGTGTCCCCCTCATACGCACGCAATTTACGATCATTTATGCACAAATGTGAATGTGTGCGGACATTGTTTTGATGGGTGCTTGCAGTGCTACGCTCGGAAAACCAAACATGCTGATCCGTGCTCTCACACTGAAGCCCTGAGAATCGGGGCCAAGAGCCTGCCAAAGTTCCAAGCAGGCTAACCAAGATGTGGTGTGCGATTTGCATAAACGGGGTATTGTGGCCAGCTTTGGCATTAGAAGGTGTTTGACCTTGTTTGCCGGGAGAATCAGAATACGAAATTTGAGAATATATATATATATATATTATAATCGCTCTCTATATATATGACTCTATCTATCTAAGGCTTCTTGGTTCAAGTCCAAGAAAGCACTTTGCTATGCTATACAGTCGCTCGATGTTATATACCGGCAGTCAACAAGCTGCAGGAGCGCTTGCAGCTCGCTTTTGCGCAAACATCTCCATGCAGATGCTTTCTCCATCAGCTAGAACAGATTAAAAGCAAACAATTCCAGGTGAATGACTCAAAGAATTCCAGCCTTAATTTTGAGCACCTTGCAGGGGCATTATGTCAAGGCTGGTATCTTCCAGTATGCAAGGATATATTGTCAGAACCAAGTGCGGTCGCAATGGATGGGGGACGGCTTTGGGTATATTGAAGTAAACGGCCCAAAGCAGGATGTTCGGCCTTTTGACTTGGAGGACTTTAATGATGCCGAAGCTGGAGGCGAGCCCGAGCTTTCAGAGATCGTTCCCAGGTGGGCGATTTTCTCCGAAACTCTGCGCCATTCGGATAGACGAGCGCAGGAGATGCAGAAGCGCAGGGAACCGGCTGAGGGAAGTTTGCCAAAAGGGACTGCTAGAGCGAATGTGTGCTTCGGGAAATGCCTACAGCTTCCACGCACTGTAGTGGATCAGCTCCATAAGTCCCACCTGGCACAGCAAGATGAACTTGACGGGTTGAAGCTTTTGCATCAGAAGAGGGTTGAAAACTTGCAGAGACAAGAATACCTGAAAGAGACTTGGCGCAAGTTTTGGGAGGCCATTTGCTTCGTAATTAAACTACAAAATGCTTTTAAGATAATGTTTAGTATTTTGTACAACTGTTTGTGGGCTGACCTGAGGAGAAGCTGCCTCAAGCCAAGGCTCGTGCCGAGGAATTGTCCAAGTTGTTGTCAGAGCTGGTCTCAAAGCCACGCGAAGCAAGCCAAGCCAGCCAATCCAAAAAGCTGCAGAGAGATGCAGCTGTTTCTCAGGACTTGGCTTCAAAGTGCCGCACTGCAAAAGCACGGAATCGGCTTCTTCTGCGACTTTCGAAGCAATTGGGCACTGATGCATTTGCGGCTGGCGCTGGCCGTGTGGTAGCAGTTGCCTTTCAGATGACTCGAGTGGCTCAAGCCGAGGTGAACAGTTTTACCCTCAGCGGGATCCGAGAAAGAGTCCAAAAAGAACTTCCAGGCCTTGAGTGTTGCGTGTCCTGGGATGATCAGAGCCAGCTGGCTCTTTACTTTTGCAATTTGGGAGCTCCCTCAGAGGATGCACATGCTAGCGAAAGTTGCCTGCAATCTGACAAACTGGACTTGATAGTGGAGCAAGCTGTGCAATCATCCACTAGCGAGGCCCTGAAGCTTGAAGCTTCTGCCAAGAGGCTGGCACGACTGAGTGGTGCTGAGATACAAGCTCCTATTGGTGGGCTTGGGCTTGAGACTTTGGGATTCAAATCGCATGGGATGAGCGGAAGTGTCTTGACCGTTGATTGGGTACATCCAGAGAAATGGGCGGATGCTTTTTCCTTGCGCATGGATGATGTTGTCCTCTTTGTGAATGGCATCCCGACCTCTGAAATGTCCACTACTGACCTTCTCAACATAAACCATGCTGATGGATTGAAACTGTTTGTGGCGCGAGGTGGGTTTGATGATGCATCACGAACTGCGGTGTTGTGACATCACTCATCCACCTCTCGTATGCTTGACAAAAGATACTCGTATAATTTATATCGTACAATCCCGTATGCTTATGGGCCGCAGTGACGTTTCCTACTCACTGCATCTCACTGTGAGTTTGGACCGTTACTAGGAGCCCTTTGGGCCCAATGTGGTGCCATGCGCCATGTCCAAGTGGGCCATCTTGGTCGTTCGGTGCAGCAATTGAGCTGAACCACGGGGCCTTGCAAAAGCGAAGTATGCGAAGTGTGTTGAGTTCTAGGAGCAGCTGCAGCAGGAACAATGGTCCTCATTGCTGTCGAGCTGCTGTTGCTCTCGTATTCGTATGTTTTCGCTGATGTTTCCATATCTCCAGGATGCCAGTACTTCTTGAGTAACTACCAAAGAAAGAATCATAAGAATCCCGATTCAAAGATTGATCAAGTGTGTGCACCCTTCATTTGTGCTGCTGAATTCTACTGGAAGGTGGGCCTGGAGAACAAGATGCAAACAAGATGAAGACAAGCTCCAAATGCATGACCATCTCCAGCAGCCATTTTTGACAGCCAAACCTATTTAAATTAGTTTTTGGTGGCCACTCGCAAAGACTCCGAGCAGCAAGGAGAAACTGGAGGAATGCATGGTTCAAAGAAACACTGAGTTGCCGACACTATTCCTTGACCTAAGGCCATGGACACACGAACCGTTGGATGTTTGGGAGGAGGCAGAAAGACAATGCTGTTCACTTCTTTATGCATAAATTGCCATGCTGAAAAGTGAGATGCAGTTGGAATTGGATAGGAATACGTACTCTGGCATACCTTTGATTTGATATATACCATATTGCTCTGGTTTCAAGTTTGGCATTTGTGCGTTCAGGTCAGCTGGGCCGCATGATGGTCTATGCCGCACACCGTTTGGGCGTGCGCATGTGTGTTTTGGACCCCTTGGGCGAATCCAGCCCGGCTGGCCAGGCGGTCTCAGTCTTGTCCATGAATTTATATAGGGCAACCGATATGGTAACAACGTAAAATGAAGGCAATGGCCACTGGCGGGCACTGGAATCGGCTGGCAGGTGTCAGAGTTGTCAATCAAGGGCAGCTTTCAGGCGTGAGTGGCGTGAGCTGGTGAGCTGTGCGCCAGTGGAAGTTCGGAAGCTGTGCCCACGGGCTGGCTTCCAAATGTCAGGATGCTGAGAAGATCAGAGAGCTGGCCAGCAAATGTGACATTTTGACCCTGGAGGTCGAGCATGTGAATGCCCAGGCATGTCGAGCTCCACCATTGGACTGTGTAAGCGCAGCAATCCTGCCCCCCCAAACTGTGCGCAGGACACAAACTTGTTGACTGATGACTTTTCTATACTTTTCTTCTATTTTGGGTGGAAGCGAATGGGTTCAAGTCCCCTGCCTGCTTTTTTGTGGTCCTGGTTGAGAGGCTCTGGAGGAGCTCCATCTCAAGGGCGTTCCTGTACAGCCGCTTCCCTTTGTGGTGAAGCTCATCCAAGACAAGTACGATCAGCGGCTTGGATCGCAAGGAAGGGTGAAGCACAAGCACTCGACATGCAACTCGCACCTAAGACTTAAGACTGAAGGCATCTCTAGCACCGTGTAGCACCTTGTCACGCTCCACGCAGTTGCTTTTTGCATGGTTTGTTATTTCACTCCGTTTCTGTGGCCAAGGAAAGTGCATTTGCAAAAGCACCGTATTCCCCTTCCAGACTTTCTGAAAGTTGACAGCGACCCTTGGAAAAAGAAACTATCAATAATCATTGGTGTGCCAATGTGCTGGGGGTCCGGGGGCCCTCTTGGTGGACTACTTCCGATCTACGTGAGGCTCATGAAGCAAAGGAGTCGCTGCAGAGCCTCCGAGGATGCGGAACTACTTGTTGTGATTACTGTATTATATATTCTGAATTCCAAGGAAGCTGAGCTGCACGAGATCGGCGAGAAGTTTGGCTACCCTATGATGCTGAAAAGCCGTGCCTTGGCAACCTGGCATCACTGCCAAACACTGATAAACATTGTAAAACTGTGTAACTATGTAGTATAGTTTAATACAATAACATGATTTAGAATCAATTTTTGCTTGGCCTCCAGCTGAGACAGGCTTTGGAGCATACGATGGTAAAGGCAACGCAGTGGTGAGTGATGCTGCAAGCATCCCAGCAGCCTGGGAAAAGCTGGGAGGAAAGGCCGGCAAGACACTTGGAGGAACGGCTCGAGCTGATTTACGTTCGCGTATTTCCCAGACTCAGCGCTTGATGACTATCCCGGTTTCTACCCAAACCACTAAATTCACCAATCAATGGAACCAGGTGCATTCCAGAATTTAATAGAATTTACATGAACGTAGCTTATTATTTTGCACTTGAAGACCTTGAGATGTTGCCCCGAGGAAGTTGTACGCAACTTGACTGCGACATCAAGTTCAATTTGACTGCTGATTTCCATCAAATCTTTGGGATTTGGGGAAACAACGCACAGGCCATAGCAAGCTTTGTCAGGTGGCCTGCAGAACGACACCTGACGAATCAAAGAAGATCTTAGTTGCTCTAGGGTATCAGCTATCTACATTGCCGCTGAAGTTCTGAAGGACGTTGCCTCGGATCTCAGGTCGAAAAGTGGGCACCTTTCAAGATGGAACTCGCCGTTATGGTCGCACGTGGTGTTGATGAAACCATGAATGTCACAATGCGCACCTTGTATGAGAATTAGCAGCTGGCATTCAGACTTTTGGTGCTTGCCAGGTGCAATAATGGGTTTCACTTTTGGCAGTTATTTTCTTGAGATCAAGGTTCCTCTCATTCTTATTGTTCATGTATATTATATGGCCTTTTGGTTTCTCTCTCTCTCTCTCTCTCCTCGCTCAGTCGCTCCCTTCTTCTTCTTCTAACCGGGCTCTGAGGAAGTACTGTAACCCACGACAAGATGGGTTGCCATCTCTTGTTGTCGGCAACCTTTTGCAGGCACCTACCCAGTGGTGCACACTGTGCAGCGGGATAGCGTTTGCTTTACTTGCTTGACACCGCCAGTTGGTGACACTTGGCAATGGCAGTTGTGAGTTGGACATGTGGTGTCAGCACTTTTGCATAGAAGTCAAGTGTAGGATTCATTGCGTCAGATCCTGGCCGAAAAACTTTGTGCAAGGGGATGCTGCTTGAGGTCACCCAGAAAGAGCAAGAACTTGCGCAGAAGATCGCAACGGATGCGATCAAAAGCTTTGGTACTTTGGCACCAGCGCTTGGTTTGATTCGATTCAGTTCCTTTTGAATATGTTTGGTGGGTAATGTTGCTGAGGCGATGCCCGAGGCATTTTCGGCGTTGAGATGTTTCTTTTGGACGATGGCTCGGTGCTGCTGAATGAGCCCCCTGGCATCTACTCCGTCACTGCGGTGGCCACGTTGGCAGGCGCAAGCCCGCACGGCTTGACCTTCTCAAGATGTTTCCATGTCGAAGCTGATAGGAAAACCATCAACTTCGAAGTTGAAATTGTGGTTCAACCCGATTCAACCCCAGCTTTTCTGGTGGAGGTGCGCAGGTTTTTTGGGTTTGAAGCAACTTGGAGTCATGAGCTGGCCTCCTCCAAATTCCTCCAAGGATTGCACCCCGACCGCACAATACTGGTCACTACACCATGGACGCTCAGCTTTTTTACTATTTTCGGGTTTGTTTCGTCGCTTTCTTCAGCTCACACCTGAGCGATGGACACTGCGCAACGGCATGCAATGTGACATCGGCATACATCATCACTGTATGAGGGCATGACATGTCTCAACTTCAGACATTGTCCCTACCGTGGTGCTGGGTTTGCTGCGGCACGGTCACAATTGGGCAGGGTCCTAACTCGTAGCCCTCACGCTTCGCTCCAGTCAGTTGGAACAGCAGCTCAGTTTCACCAGTGGCTGGCTCATCACAGGCCTACTATACGGACCCGTTTCAACATCCCGTTGCGCAACACATCACCAAATTTATCTGTTATTTTTTAAGTTTGTTCTGACATGTTCCGACCATTTCCGCACCTGCGAACCGGACAGTGCCGAGCATTTAGCCCAGGAAGCGTGTGGTGTCGACCAGTTCGAGCAGCATCTCAGAGCAGTGTTGGGCTTGCCTCTTGGTGACTGTCACTTGCGCAGCTTGGAGGCACGAAGGTAATCACAGGATATCAGTGGTATACATTTGTGCATTTGATCTTCAGGCATGTTGGACCCATAGGAACCCAGAAGAGTTGGAACACGCAGATTATTCTGAGGTGTTGGCGGTGCTATGATGGTGACTCTTGGATTCTGTGTGATTCTCTAGAGCGTGTGGGACAGTATGATGCAGCATGAATTGATGCATTGTGATGCATTTATAATTAGATCTAAAAGCAATGTATTGAATAACCATAATAACCTACCTTCAAAAGGCCAGACTTGTTCCCGCAAGCTGCTGGAGCTCTCATAGAACGCTCCTTTCCAACGGAGGAATATCCTGGGCCAGGGAAGCACCCCGGAACTTACGGCTCAGACGATGGCACCTTTGCGTTGTGCGCTTCGTGTGCCAGATGCTGGCATCCATTGGTATGGCAAGGTCCAGTTGACTTTGCAGCTTTGCATGCCATGGGTCTCATTGGTCCACAAGGTCAAAAAGCTGCTAGTTCTTCAACTGTATTCCATAATTACATTAATTGCTTCGGCTTTTTAGCGAGCTTTGGGCAGGATGGCTGCGTAAAGGGCCGCAAGATGGGCCATATCACTGTGACTGGCTTCACACCAGCTAGTGCACTAGAGCAAATTCGACCTGTCCTCAAAGCTGCCTGATTGCAATACGAGTTTGTTTTAGGTCATGACACTCTGTTGACGGACGGAATTTGGCACCACTGAAGGAGCCTTTGACAGGTACTACAGCCAGCTAAACCCATCCCTACCCACGGCACAACACAGAATCACACCAACGGACCTGGGCTTCCCACGGGTCCAGGATAATACAGGAGTTTGAGTTGCTCAATACACGACATACGGGATTCTCCTACTTTGCACACTGCTTATATATATATATGCTTATATTATGCATATAAAGTATTTTCTTTATATATAGAGAGAGATAGATATAGATACATATATATATATTCTCTTTGCTAGGCCGTTGATGGTGAAGGAAACTCTTCGAGCATCGAAGTGCCGCACAAGAGCTCACCTAGCGTGGGGATCATCATGGGGAGCGACAGCGACCTTCCAACGATGAAGGAGAGGTTCAGATGGCAAGGCAGATAAATTCTATAAGCAATTTTGTTTTGAGATGTTTTGAGATTTTTTGTATAATAATGTATTATGACACGGCATCTCAATGCATCTCATGTCTCCTTTTGACAGATCTAGCAGGGTTTGACGTTCCAGATTGCAGGATGCTGCAGTCGTGCTTGATGATTTCGGAATCCCCTATGAAATCAGCATCGTGTCCGCGCACCGAACGCCTGAGTACATGCTACTTTCCTGATCTAACAGAGTCAAAGTTCTCTTGCACCCAGTTTCTAGCAGTGTAGACTGTAGACTTGTAGAAGTGCCTTGAACTTGTGTGTAGAGAATGTCGTAAGGAGTTGCGTCCTCGTGCCGCTTGTGCCTTTGGGGTGACGCCCAGGTACGAGTATGCCACGACCGCAGCAGATCGCGGAATCAATGTCATCATTGCTGGTGCCGGGGGTGCAGCACACTTGCCCGGTATGGTGGCAGCGCTGACGCCTTTGCCTGTGTGCCTTGGAGAACGGCAGGGAGAGCCCAGCCGGGTAATGCAAGCAGACACGACTTGACTATTGCGGCTGAATCGCCTACCGTACTTGCACAAGATCAGTCCAGGTGTGCCAACGGACATCCACAGACCATGCTCCCGCTTGATCCCTTGAGTGATGTAGTTTTCCTGTGCCTGTGAGCAGCTTCCTGAGTTCAAGGGGGGTGGCTATTGAGCTTTGGAACATTTACAACTCCAGGATTGGTGTGCCTGTCAAGTCGTCAGCGCTGTCTGGCAACGACTCTTTGCTGTCCATAGTGCAGATGCCGAAAGGTCAGATCCTCAGGTCGTGAACGCCATGCAGACATACATATTGCCATTAGGTTGGAGGCCATCGCTATTTGGCGGGAGGCCATGTCTAGTCCAGTAGGTTGGAGGCCATCGCTAGCAGGTTTGAGGCCATCGCTAGTAGGTTGGAGTTGGAGGCTACTAGCCATCACACCTTTTGCTGAGCACGTTACATGCAGGTATTCCTGTGGCAACTGTGGCAATTGGCAATGCAGCTAATGCTGGCCTTTTGGCTGTGCGAATCCTTGGTGCTGCAAACCCAGGCAATTTCCACGCATCCAGCCTACTAGAAGTAAGCACGTCGCAGGTGTCACGTTTCAGGTGGGCCTTCTTGAGCAAAACCGCCAAGCACTAGGCACTAGGGTAGACTGAGAACATATGGCTGACCATGGGGAGGACGGGGATGGGGAGAGAAAGTACCGGCCGGGGTGGCAGTACCCAAAGAGGTCCATCACACTTGTTGCTGTACAATTCTGGCGCCTAGGGTTGTAGCAAGCTTGAACACCTAGGTGCCGGCGGTCGTGCATGGGGAACAGATAGCATGTTGACCAATCAGCTCGTGAGTTCAGCAGCAATGGCTTGATGTGTCAGGCATGCGGCAAAAGATGGCACAGTTCATGGTCCCTTGGAGGGGCAGTCTTGCAAAGACTGCAGTACATGCATTTTGCGTAAACAATGCAACTGTATACATACATTAGATCATACTATATAGATGTGTAACTTTCCCGGTGAATTGACCTCAGGCCAATGAAGCCACCACTGTGGAGAAGAAAAGGAGGAAACTCGAACAGGTCGGCTGGCAAGCCTATTTGGCTGACAGCAAATAGACTCTTGGCATCCGTGCAAACTGATTGGAGCATTGCAAGCGCACAACTCCACCCATGAAAGACACGCATCATGATGATTGAATCAGCCTTTTTCCACCTTGCATGTGAATGATGGAACAGATAGCGCTGAATGGACTCTGCCATAGGCTTTTAGGAACCAGGTGATGTCGCCGTGCCTCGATGGAAAGTGTGTTTGTTTGACTCCGTGCCCTTGGGGAACTGGCAACGTGTGTATGTGTGTGTGTGTGTGTGTCACCACCTTTAGGGTTTAAAAAGAGGCAGGGGACCAGGCAGGATGCATCGTCGCCTGGTCAACGAAGCTGGCGATGTATCCGAGGATATGGAAGTGGGACGCCATTTCCACGCACCTGCTGAAAACTTTTGTTTACGCTGTGACTCCACTCTTCCTTTTTGGTTCCATGGTGGCTCTGCATGCTATATCCCAAAACAATCCAAAACAGGTTTCTATGCACGGCGATAATTCGATCGGCTACGTGTTCAGTAACTAGAATCCGCAGTTACGCAGCATGAGCACTTGTTTACCATTTCAATTGTGCTGGCCGCTTCACCTTACGTTTCCCTCATTCATTTTTTTGTGGAATAGAGGTAACTGAAAACCAATTGTCAAAGTGTGTGCCGCTCTGTCGTCCAACTGGGTGCAGGGTGCGGTCTCCTGCAAGGGAGCGCCGAAACCATCGTGGATCACATTTCGACAGCGTTTTTCTGCACGCGTTGGATGATCACTTACTGATTAAGTGTCCCACCCCATGAATCTTCTGACCACAAAACTGCCGAGTTTACGGAGATTTGACGCCGCCGGGCTTACGGATCTGTGCATCAGCAGTATTCTCGAGGCTCCACAGATTTTGCTCGAGGCTTTTAGGTTTCAGGTGAAGCTTTAGTCAAGGGAGCGCCGTTTACGGCAGTACCTTAGAGCCACACCCCCCCCCCGCCTTGCACGCGAATTCACACGTCTTATCCCACCCTCTAATTAGGGTAGCAGAAGGAAGTCGCACTCAACACACTTGTGTGTTGGTGCCTTCTGTTCTCCTGTCGTAGTCTTTCCCACCCATCCGGTCTAAGACTAAAGTCCCGCTCGCTAACCTTTCCACCTAATTCATTCGGCTAAGTAGTCAGTAGCTAGAAGCTTTCATAACTAGTGGGCCTCGTAGCTACTCCTATCTTTCTCTCTTGCCCTCTTCGCTTGCTCTTTCTGTCTTTTCCTTTCCTTTCTTTCTAAGGCTTGTTAGGTGGCTATAGTAAATCTCTGGAGCGCCGATATCGGCTCTCTGTGTGTGTGTCACCCCTGTTTCTAAGGTTTCCACACGCTGCAAATTAATTCAATTTCCCTTGGGTTTTAAAAGAGGCAGGGGACCAGGCAGGATGCATCGTCCCCTGGTCAACGAAGCTGGCGATGTATCCGGGGATATGGAAGTGGGACGCCATTTCCACGTACCTGCTGAAAACGTTTGTTTACGCTGTGACTCCACTCTTCCTTTTTGGTTCCACGGTGGTTCTGCGTGCGATTTCCCAAAACAGGTTTCTATCCACGGCGATAATTCGATCGGCTACGTATTCAGTAACTAGAATCCACAGTCACGCAGCATGAACACTTATTTAACATTTCAAATTGTGCTGACCGCTTCACCTTGCGTTTCCCTCATTCATTTTTTTTCGTGGAATAGAGGTAACTGAAAAGACCGGCATCCAACACTCAAAACAACGCCCAAGTCAAAGGGTCTTCCCTTTTCGCTTTACAAGCCGACAGCCGCCCAGGAGGTACAAACAAGACAGACAGCTAATTGGGCTGGAAAAGAGGGCGGCGGTGGAGAAGCTATAAGTGGGTGCTAGTATTTCAAAAAAGTCACTAATTACTCTGAAGTTGCGTTGGGGGCGCTCAAACCTGGAAGGAAGGGCAGTCACTTGAAATCAACGGCAAATTTTTTGGGGGGGCTTCCGACATCAATTTTTTGCTTGGCAGTATTATGGACAAGCAAGGCCCTTTGCAGAGAAGTTGTGTGATCCCCCGTCCTTTGGTCCCTTTTGGTCATGTGTTTGGCTGCCGCAGGTCGGCGCTAAGGAGTTTTTGTTTCAATAAAATCTGAAGTGGCACGCAGGAGAAACCAAAACCAGCAAGGCGCCCCATAGTGACAGCTATTGGGGCACTTACTTCAAATATAGGAAGAGGTGCGTGTGTGCGCTTAGGGGGTTGGATGCTGGTACCGTTGCAAGGTGCCGCTGCCAGATGTCTATTATGGCCTTTGCGCTCTGGCTTGGGTGGTGTTCTTGCAGGGTGCTGCTGCAGGGTGCTGCCCACTGTAATTGTTTTCTATTTGGTGTGATATGGATAACATGAGCGGCGCGCACGGGATTTTGAATTCACGTCGTTTTCGGGAACAGGACTTGAGCCAACCAAACATTAGAGGTGGTTCCCCGAAGTTTCTTGGTTGATGACGCTTTGTTCGAAGCCCATCTCGGGCAAAAAAGACACCTCTGAAAGTTGGTTTCTAGCACCAAGTTTCCCCTGGAAAGACCTTATATTATCCGCTGCCGCTGCATCTGCCGCGGCTTTGCAACTCCTGAGTCAATACTGCTTTGTACCTACCTGCAAAAGCACGGAGAATCAGTGTTTTTGGATTTGATGACTTTGGCGTTAAAGGAGAGACAGCATACTCCCTTTATGAAGGCATATGAAGGTATCCTTCCTTAACTGATGTGTCAGGGCATCGGCGAGTTTATATATATATAGATGTATCGACTTCTGATTTTTGAAGGGCTTGGGGAGTTGAGCGCTATCCCATGTGCAATGCAATGTTTTGCAAATTTTAGGCTACACATGACTGGGGAGCCCTAACTAACTCCAATGTCACTCGTTAGTCGCTAGTCGTCTAGGGAGGATTTTTTTCTTGGTGCTCCGATTTGCGCTTTGTTTGAAGGCCGTCTCGGGGCAAAAGAGGACACTCCAGAAAGGTAGGTTCTACTTGCATCATGTTCTAGCGATAGGACGTTGGACAAAGCAGGACACGGCAGATGCATATCTCGATCCATTTACACTAAATGCGTCTTGCGAACGAAGCGGGTATTGTCAGAAAGACTTTCATATCGCTTGTTGAAGCTACTTGAGTCAAGCAGCACGTTGTTCTAAGCGTTTGCGTGGCTTTCGCCCATTCACTTCTTAGATCTTCTTAGGCTGAGTCATATGAGAGTTGTACGCTTTGAATAGAATAGTCATGGAACCATGTGCACCACATGTTCCTATCTCTGGCAAATCAAAGTGCCCCTTTCCACGGCTTCATGACCACACGTATGTGACTTTCGCTAGCTACAGTTTGCACACCGGCAATCAGGACTGCAAGATCGGCTTTGGGGAGATCTGATTTCGGATTCCATTGAGTTCGATGAGATGCTGGATCCTGGGAATTGATCCGCAAGATGGGCAGTCCATGTTTCGTGGGTGAGAGCTGCTCGCCGAGCGTTTTTGCGCGGCACACCCGGGCACTGTGAAGCTCTGGAATGTTCCTCCACTGAAGTGGAACACGGCCCATTCGTGAATGGTTGGCTGGGGCAAGTGTTCCACTTCCGCTCAGGTAGGGGTGATAAGTGCAAACATGTTTTCATAGCATATGTTAGTTCATTGGAATTGGTTGACAAACGCTTCCAGAGCTTGTAACGGTCAAGCTTTTGGAACCTTTTGACGCAATGGCTGACAGACTGGCACCGAAAAAAGCATGCTAACGACAACAGACGTCAAGTGCAAGTGAGGGATTGTATTGCAGTTGACACCGAGGGCATCGCACATTGAGTTGGCTCAAGACATGCCAACACCCCTGCCATCTTTCCTGGCCATGCACCACTTTGACGTCCCTTGGCAAAAGGTGTGTTTGCGCGCGCTTTGACCTGCCAACATCAAGTCCTGGTTCTCCCTGCTCCGGGGCTGATGGAGGGAACAGACATATATATATATAATATATATAATATATATATACCGTTTGACACATGTGCGAGGCATGAATTGCAGACTCACATGCTCAGGCGCAATAACCACCTTCAGACCATTCAGACTCCAAATATCTACAAGGACGCTATTAGTAACAAAGGGCATCGCTATATACTAGTAACAAGGATGCTACTAGTAGCTCCTGGCATCGCTACTAGGAGCAAGAAGCTACTAGTAGCATCCCCACCCTTTTAACATTGAAAAATGGAGGGGACCTCCGGGACCTCCAGAAATGTATCTTACATTTGTTTGAGGGGAGGGTGCGTGCGTGTGTGGGTGTGTGCGTGTGTGTGTGTGTGTGTGTCTGAAACCCTTGGAATCATAGGGCTTCCTTTGAAGTGTTTTTAATGTTTTAGCAGTGGGCTCTTGGAGCCTGCATGAGACAAGAGCCAAAAAGACGCTCACGCAGAGCTTGTGCAAACGTACCTGCTGTGGCGCACATGGTCGCATAGTAAGACGCAGCTGGTGGCCACCCTTCAATTTCAAGTTTAATTCTGCAGACTTGCACCATACGTCGTCACCTTGTTGCGCTTCCGCTGTTCGAGTTCGTGGAGGTTTCATAGAGATACCAACTAACCTGAACCCTTAGGCGTTCACACCTCGGTCGGCGTGTGGCGTGAGGCAATTCAGTTCCGTACGCGTTTCCCAAGTGTGTGTGTGTGTCCACCCTGGACAAAGGGTCTTCCACCACCACTCTTTCCATGCTTTTCAACTACCTTGGACAACCACCTTATATAGGCATGGGGCCACAGCTCCTTTCATCAGCCTGTGGCCAACGAAGCTACTGATGATTGGAGAGGATATGAACCTGGGACGCCAGGTTCACGTACCTGCTTTCAACACATTGACTCCAATGGTCCACCCTGCTGCTGTTCGTTGGTTTCATGGTTTTTCTTCATGATACCCTCCCACAAACAGGTTTCCCACCGCTTTGTCTTGCAGCTGGGCCGCGCCGACCGATCGTTCAGCAGACTTGACCAACAACTTGTTGAAACACCAAATCTTTCGGACTCTTCACCATGCAGTTCTGTCACCTTCCTTCCCAGCGGAGAAATTGAGCTTTAACGGAAAACCAGTGTCGAAGTGTGTGCCCCTTGTAGTCACAGGGATTCGTTTGAATTGTTTTTTGTGCTTAGCAGGGGGGCAATGAACACTTTGGAAGGCATTGCCCAACGAAGACCCTTCCATCGTGTTGTGATATTCCTGAGGGACGCCTCGGGAACGTACCTGCAACAATTTTTAAAGTTTGCGGCAGTCACGCACGGAACGCCGTCACTTCGACCTGATCGCCGACCTCGACCTTGTGCTTTGGGCCTCCTTTCCTTTTAAGACCTCCAGGATTCGATGGCTTCCTACTGGTACTCTTAGGAAATGGAACCCTAGGCCGGCGTGTGGCACCGCTATCAGTTCAGTACGCATATCCATAAGTGTGTTTGGCCTAGTGCCAACCCGGGATGAGCCCGCAGAGTGCCTCCCGTGGACCCGTCGAACGGGGGTTTGTCCTTATCTCCCCTGCCCGGAGATGTAAGTGCCCAGAGCGGGCGTAGGTGGCCTAGGCCGAGAGAATTCAGATTTTTGTCTCATCTTTGGAATTCCAAGTTGGCTCATGCCTTTACGTGACCGCAGCGGTCAAAGCAGCCAGCCATATTGGCACGGCGTACGTGGTCGCAGCGACCGAAGTTTGTTCAAGGTTCATTGGAACCTGTCCCAACCTCAGGTGCGCACACAGCGCTTACACTCAAACGAGGCAGGTCCCTAGGTGCTTCTAATGAGGTTCGGTTTCATCGGTTCTCGTCCCCTCCATTTGGTTCCCCTTTCATCCCTTCCCCTTCACACACTTTTGTTTCCTCTTTTCTTTCATGTCCTCCTGTCTTCATGTCTGTTCATCTCATCCTTTTCTTCGTTTGCGTGCACATTGGTCCCGGCCTTAGTGTGTACGTGCACTTCTACATACCTTTAAACACAGGTTTTAGGTCGCCCAGGTCTTTACAATGAGGTGGGCTTCATCGGGTGTCCCTGTGCACTTGGTTCCCCTTTCATTTCAACCACACGCACCTTTGCCCCGTCTCGTCCTCCTGTCATGTCTTCATTCTTTTGTCTTGTGCGCGCACACGTGCACATTGGCCCTCACCTTAGCTTTACGCCTCCCCGAGGGGAGGCGTGTGTGTGTGCCCCTTGTAGTCACAGGGATTCGTTTGAATTGTTTTTGTGCTTAGCAGGGGGCAATGAACACTTTGGAAGGCATTGCCCAACGAAGGCCCTTCCATCGTGTTGTGATATTCCTGAGGGACGCCTCGGGAACGTACCTGCAACAATTTTTAAAGTTTGCGGTAGTCACGCACGGAACGCCGTCACTTCGACCTGATCGCCGACCTCGACCTTGTGCTTTGGGCCTCCTTTCCTTTTAAGACCTCCAGGATTCGATGGCTTCCTACTGGTACTCTTAGGAAATGGAACCCTAGGCCGGCGTGTGGCACCGCTATCAGTTCAGTACGCATATCCATAAGTGTGTGTGTGTGTGTGTTTTAAGTTTAAGACTTAAGCTTGTAATAGGTACACAAGATAGTAACTATTTGGACATAAGCTAATATATTTACAAAACACTCTTCAGGCAGTCCTGGGGAGTACAGAGTCTTCAGATTATATCATATGATATAAGCCGGGTTTCATTTTGTGAGCATTCTATGAAACGATATGAATAGTAAATATAAACAACTAAATGTAACTTACATTTTGTCAAACATGTAGCTTATATTTAGGACCCCCAAGGGCTTTAGGGGGACCTCAAGTATGTAATGTTACATCCTCATATATTTTCAGGGTGGCATGTACAGAAAATGCAACTTACATTTTCCAGATGTCCCCCGCTCAATATGCTGGGGATCTAGTAGCTCCATCCAAGCAGCTTCGAGTCGTGAGGCACCACCGCGCATCAGCGCAGCGCAGCCTGAAGATGTTGCCATCAAGGTCACTAGCGACGAACAGCAATTTCAATGAGACGTGAACTTTTCGAAAATGTCCTTGCCCAGTCGGGTGCCAGCGTCCAAGCTCCGTCAGGATCGTGGCGCCTCGTCGGAAAGAGATGAACAATTTGATTTGCTGGAGGCCTTGATTTTGGGACTGTTGGAACCCACCTGCGCTGGCATGCATGTTTTGTTCCACAGGTACGTTCCTGCGGAAGCATTGACGAAAAGTCAGAGTCGGACGCAGATGAGTTCAAGGCACCGAATGTTTAATAATGTTTAATACTCTGTTTGAAGGTGTTCGATGACTCCCTGTCGACCTGCTTAGGTTCAAAAGGGTAATTATTAGTAATTAGCGAGGATTTAGTTTTTTGAAGTTGGTGCATTGTTGCATCTAGGTGGTGTTTCAACTCCAAGGCAAACGGAAGGGTAGTGCACAGAAAGGGTTTTGCAAACACCTATTCTACTAACATCTACTAACATCGTGGAAGGCGTGGGACATTCGTAGAACCCAACCCTATTCGTGGACAGTTCGTGGAATGGTGGGCCAGTAGGAGAACTGACTGCAACGAAATCCCAGAAGCCTTCGCAGAACTTCGTGGAAGGTATTTTTGATGCACTAACTTCGTATAAGCGATTTTTGCTGACCCCCTTTCTCCACACACCCTCCATTTAGCCTTCATCAACATGCAGTTACAGTAAATATTACTCAGTAATAAGTATGTAATACAGATACAGATGCATGGTGTTTGTTTCCAAGTTTGTCCATGAATGGATACAATCAAGCACATGCATGTTTTGTTTGCCATGGCTTGGTGTTTTAGAGAAGGCAAGCTACTTTATTTTCGCGTGCTTTTCAGGTCCGGAAATGGGAGGTATGAGTGTATTGGATCATGTTTGGAATTTTGGGAAGTAGTTGGCTGGCGGCTGATAGAACGCCGCCAGCTTTTCTTCACGTTTTGCTTTTCAGTTGATGCTACGTTGGGGATGGGGGGGTGGGGTGGGGAATAGTTGGAGCTTTGTTAAACAAGACTCACAATACATCGACCTTGCAGTAGTGCGTTTGCATTGGGGTTGCAAGTAACATAGGCTCTGGAAGGGGGAGTTTGGATGTCGCACTGACTTCTGTGACTTCCTATTCGGAAGCACTGCTTCTGCAGTTCGGTGGTTAATGCTTTGATGATGTTTGATGACCTAACTTTCACGTCCGACCTGAGTCACTGGTGTTTTCTGAACGGCCGCCTCACCGAGGGTCGCAAGGAACAGCCGTTCCGGTTGCGTTGGCACTTTCCGTCTCAGGACTTGTCACCCGAAAAGACAAGCGAAATGGCGGAGAAGATTGAGCAGGCAGATATTGAAAGAATGGAAGGAACACAAATTGATTGCGAGAGGAAAACCGAGAGTAACCAACACGTTTGTGATCGTTTGTGTGTAGGTATATTTGCACACACACAAACATATATACATATACACGTAAATACACATACCTACGTGTGTGTGTGTGTGTATATATTAAGGGGCTAATATGCCAATCAACAGAGGATGTCAGACCATCAGGCCATGCCAGGTTTTGCCATTGCAAAATTTGAAACAACAAGACAGCCTTTGGTTCCAGAACTGATCATGTGATATCATGTGACCTTCCTGAAACCGAACCCTTTGCGCATGCAGAGTGACGCGAAGGTGAGTGACCCCACAGAGAAGCTAAACCTGAGCCCGGAGCACAAAGCAAAGGATGCGATGAAGCCATTGCAGACGCAGGTGCAGTGCAGAAAGTGAATCGTGCAAACAGTTGGCATGCAAACAAAAGCAAACTCTTCGGCTGTGGGCCCCACCCAGCTCTAGGCCGCTGGGCCCCAAGGTTCCTAGAATAGTTAGATGTTGCTTTTGACCCAGCGTGCGGAAGGAAGCATGACGCATCATCGACATGGCAGGTCGAACGTCAGGATACGGCAAAGTTTGGGGAAACTCAACGCGCCGGAACCCGAGCCGCAATTCTTTGGCTATCATAATGCTTTCCTTGCGCAGAATGTGAGTAGCTAAAGGAGCTATTTCCAAGAACAGAAGCAGAAACTAAGCAGGCAGCGGGCTGTCATTTTCAAGTTTGTGTGTTTGCTTTTGAACCTTCCTCAACTGGTGGAGGAGGATGACATCCTTTTTGACAAACTCGAAGAGAAACTGCTCCCTGAGAGTCTCGACAAGCAAGCCGCACCTCGGCCCAAATAATTTTGGCGAAGAGAAACGCATGATGTGGAAAATGATTACTACTTGAATCTATATACTTGATACTACTTGGGCCAAGATGTACCGAAGAAACGCCTGATGTCCCAAATCGCTTTCTGCGTGACAGAAACACGTTAAACCATGTTAAACCGAAGGCCATGCCGGCACTAATGCTTTCTCGATTGCCCGGACCTGGGCGGCCAGAGGAGGAGAAAGCAGAGGTCGCTTCCAATACTTTTTCAGTGGTTAGGCACAACTCAGTTGGGGTGGATGCACGTTATGTATGATCCTATATGCTATATACATACAGTAGTAACAATGACGCTACTAGGAACAAGTGCATCGCTTCTAGTAACAAGTGCCTTACTAGTAGTAACAAGAAGCTATTAGAAACAATAAGCTACTAGGAACTATATTGCTAATCACCTTACACCTAACACCGAGAAGGATCCTGGAAGATCGGCACAGCATGCGGGAGCACTCCCACAGCTTCTTGTTTAATTCTAATAGCTTCTTGTTACTACTAGTAAGGCACCTGTTACTAGTAGCGATGCACTTGTTACTAGTAGTATTCACTGTATTCACTGCTTTTGAGTTTCAACTGGTTTTCATGTCGTCTACAGCAGGCAGCGCCAGAGTTGCTGGACATGTTGTCGAAGGTCTCTGCTCAAGTGGCAACTCTCCAGTCAGAACTGGTTCCAGCCCCAGAGCAGCCGGGCGACCGGTGGCATATCCTTTTGGATGTGGTCCAGGCATTTTCGCAATTTTTTGCCCAATGCCTGCGACATAAACCCATGACGCACCATTGTGTTCAGTGTTGACTCAGCACGGAGGAGTGTGAACAGATGTACCATGCCATAGTGATCTTAGTGAAATTAATCCAGGTCACCACTGAGTTTACTGTAATTATCCTTGATGGTAGGAGTCTGGCCATGATTCTGTCTATACAACATTTTGAGAAACAACTGCCATCAGATTTGTGGGTTGAGAGTAATTAGCGTGGATTAATTTTGAGACGTGGAGGTAGCGCTTGCTATGGCCATGACACAAGAAACAACACTGAAAACAAACACATAGAAAGGAACCACACAAATCAATCACAAATACTCCATTTGCAATCAGATCAGAGAATCTTCAGTGTCTAAAATCAATCAACACCTTTGCAAGTGCTTTGTGCTCCGAAATGGTAGGGCGATATAGAGTACTAGGGGGTCTACCTAGAAATTAATCTAGACGTATCTTCCTCCAGATTAATTTTCCAGAAAGACTCTAGAGGTAGGAGCAAGGACGCTACTAGGGGCTCCTGGCATCGCTACTAGGAGCAAGAACGCTACTAGGGGCTCCTGGCCTTACCTGCTAGGAGCAAGAACGCTACTAGTCTAATTAATGTATTCTGTTTGTTCATCCCACGCAGTGGAAGGGCCTAGAGGTGGTACGACTGACAGTCCGCAAGTTGTGTGTGGTAGTCGAATTGTTTTTTTAAACGTAATCCAGGGGTACCTCCCTCTACTCCATCTTGTAAGGGTACGTGTAAAAAGTGGAGTGTAGTTGTCTACATATAATAACTTATATAATGTCCTGATTTGATTTCCTGGCTCTCTTGATATCCTGGAGAAAGATGTGGACAAATATGTGGGTGAAGTGAAAACATGTTCTTTTGTTCACTTTGTTCGTGCCTATGCTTTCTCGACCGGAACCTGTTTTGGCAAGGCTAGCTTGAGGGCGTCAATGGACTCTCTTCATGAGGACCTATCGCGCATGCCCAGCACATGGACGACTTACACAGACGATCCTTGGGCTCGTGACCCAACTGATTTGTGCCAAGCCACAGAAGCAACGCCCAAGAGCTTTCAATGCAATCAATCGAACCACTTGTAGTAGGAATTGAAATGGCTGTTGAAAGGCTGAACCATCTGAACCCTTGGAACGTGTTGCAGGAGTTTCAAGAGTTAAGAGTGGAGAGACCAACTGCGAAGCCAAGTTCGGCGGTGGAGGACCGCAGCCATCATGGGTGCATGATTCACGATATAGGTCGACAGTGGTCGGACGTACGTCGACAGTGGTGCTTTCAAGGTGGTTTGGCAAATTGCATAGCCATTCCAGTCGGCATTCCAGTCGGCCACTGGAGTTGCAGGAGCAGCTGGCTGAGTTGAAGAGTTCCGTCAAGCGAGAACTACATGATGTGCAAGAGGCTCTGAAAGCAGGGCAGCTGTGACAAGACTGCAGCAAATTATTGCACTGTAATTAACATGGTGTCAGTGTCACTGGTGTTCCTGTGTGGGTGCTTAGGTCATCTTAGGTTGGACCTGACCTGCCATCTAATAACAACTGGCTGCGACCAGAGATGCTGGAAGGGAACCCGCCAGGTTCTCAACAGCGAGTTGAAGGATCTAACCAGCCTCTTTCGGGGGGAGATGCAGCAGCTGAGTGACAAAGTGCAAGCATTAGCAACTTGGCCGCGTGATACTTGTTCACTCCTCAGACTGAAAGCGCCGAGAGCGCAGATTCATGACTCCCCAGGTTGCCCGAAGGATGCCGTTTTAATGCCAAGCAAGCTTTTGACGACATTCTCGTCGACACGTGTTGACCACAGAGGTTATTTTTGACAACTCTCTACTCGTCCATGTTGCTTAGATATCTTCACGAATCTTCACGAGCTATCTTTTGCACTGCTTGGGCTGGTCCTGGCAATGAGCTTGATAAGGCTATCAACTATTATAACTATAGAGCTTGATTGAAAACACAGGTTTTGAAGCATTCTGGGCATATGGCAGGGAAGAGCACAATCTCATACCAAAGGCCAAGTGAGGCAGTATGTATTGCCATTTATACGGCTGTAAGCCCGCCTTGCGCAGTACCACTGCCTCAGCAATGTGGATTTGGGCAGCATTGCTCGGACATTTGTGCTGCCTAGCTCCATGGGCATTTGTTATGAGGCAGGTCGAGCCCTACATGGATGAGATCTTCCATATTCCACAGGCACAGAAGTACTGCCAAGGCCAATTTGCAGAGTGGGACCCAAAGATCACAACTTTTCCCGGACTTTATCTTTCAAGCACCTTCATAAGAGGCTTTACCGGGATCTTCTGCGGCAAAGACTTCCTGCGACTGGAAAATGTGGTCTATGCTTTGGGTGCCCATGTGGTCATGTATCGATTGTTACGGCGCAGTCTGGAGCCACAGAGGGCAGCTGCTCAATCCTTGTTGCTCTCCTTGTATCCAATCCATTTCTTTTTTCAGGCTCTTTACTACACTGATGTCGGCTCACTGTTTTGGACGCTGCTCACGCATGATCTAGCCACCCCTGTGCCAAAGAAGGTGTTGCCAGGAAGGTTGCATATGTGCCTGGCCGCGGCGAGCGGGTGTGCTGCCGTACTCTTTCGACAAACTAATGCCGTTTGGGTGATGTTCACATTTGGAATTGCAGCCCTCCAGGATTTGCAAAGTTCAAAGTGGGGCGATGAGCTTCTTCGTGCAGATATATCACCAAGTGTGCTGCTGACCTTTTGCAAAGCTTTGATTTTGGAATCTCCAAGGCTTTTGGCCCGCCTAGGCCCGCTCCTCGTCTCAGTTCTGCTATTTGTGGGTTTTGTGGTTCAGAATGGCTCCATCGTGGTTGGTGACCACTCGAATCACCAGGTAGCAGTACATTGGGCACAGCTTTGTTACCTCGTGGCGGTTACTGCAGGTACTTCGGGTTTTGGCTCAACCTCGGCCCTTTCACCGAGCTGCTTCAAGATCTTTGGATCTGACGTTTCCAAGCGCCCACGAGCATTCATTCTAGCCCTCGCCTTGGTGACTGCACTTCTGCACAGATACAGCTTGGCTCATCCCTTTCTTTTGGCGGACAATCGTCACTACACCTTTTACATTTGGAATCGTTTCCTGAGACGACCGTGGTTCAAAGAACTTCTGGCACCCGGCTATGTTTATGCTGGATGGTATTGCTGGCGCAGGCAAAGCTTGGCTCAGTCAGGGCTTTGGGTCCTGATTTGGTCTGTTGCAGCTGTTTTGACGCTGGTCCCGGCCCCTTTGCTGGAGCCACGCTATTGGACCACACCCGTCCTGATGGCTCATTTGTACGCGCATGAAGTGCCAGATCGGAATGATCGGAGGATGATGAGTCTCTCTAGTACTTTCATTGCAGGCGTTGCTTTCATGCTTGTGAATATAATGACGCTGGGCATCTTTGTGTATCGGCCCTTTGCGTGGCCGTCTGGAGAAGTGGCCCGCTTCATGTGGTGAAGTGGCAGACGGTCAAGATGCAATCAAATTGCATGCTTTTTTGTATGAGCACGTTGCCACACGGATAAAGAGGCTGGCATGCGGCAGAGGGCAGCCCCGTGATCCCAACACTACCGACTTTGGGGCAAAAGCGGCAATTTGATGTCCAAACCCATTCGTCCCAGTGTTTTTCTAGGCAGATGCCGTTCTCTACCTGGGTTTCAATGCACACTAAGCTGTGGACCTAATCACTGGTGCCCGGGAAGTGCCGGATTCTTTTTCTTGCAAACAGCTGAATCATTGGTAGTCGGAGTACGGGGACCGTAAGCAAATGAAACAAATCTCCTGATCCCGCCTGATCCCTGACGGATTTTGGCACCAGGCAGGTGTATATAGATTGTTTTTCCTCACAATGTTGAACTGGGTAGTGAAGTGCGTCAAGACAAGCATTTTTGTGCCTCAACTCAACTGATAGTCTCCAAAACCGACCAAAGGAGGGAAGACCGACATGCGGCTAAGGACGCCGCCGATACTCAGCTGTTGCAGAACATCAATGCTCTCACGCTGCTTGGATGTCCTCTAGTAGATCGCAGACACAACTACCATTTTGTCGAGGAAAATGTGATACAATGTGACTGTTTGGTCGGCATCTTCTTACCATGGGCTACTGTGATTGATTATATATATATAGTTACTGTATATACCATTGTGTGTAGTGTTGTGTGTATATATATGTGCGTGTATGTATTTCTGTGTGCTCGATTTATATATATATATTATCAAAGGAAGTTTAGTGTACGAAACTTCCGTGTTACGGACATTCAAGAACCACTCATACACCACTCATCAATACACCACTCATCATACACCACTCATCACACACCACTCATCAATACACCACTCATCATACACCACTCATCATACACCACTCATCAAACACCACTCAACATGCACCACTCATCATACACCACTCATCAATCCATCACTCATCATACACCACTCATCATACACCACTCATCAATACACCACTCATCATACACCACTCATCATGCACCACTCATCATGCACCACTCATCATACACCACTCATCAGACACCGCTCATCATACACCACTCATCATACACCACTCATCAATCATCATACACCACTCATCAATACATCACCCATCAAAACATCATTCATCATACACCACTCATCATGCACCACTCATCAATCATCATACACCACTCATCAATACATCACTCATCAATACATCATTCATCATACACCACTCATCATACACCACTCATCATACACCGCTCATCATACACCACTCATCAATACATCAATCATCATACACCACTCATCATACACCACTCATCATACACCACTCATCATACGCCACTCATCATACACCACTCATAATGCACCACTCATCATACACCACTCATCAGACACCACTCATCAAACACCACTCATCATGCACCACTCATCATACACCACTCATCATACACCACTGGCACAGCACTTTGTGAACCTCCATGTGCAGGCACAGCACTTTGTGAACCTCCATGTGCAGATTTCGTGGCAGGCACAGCACTTTGTGAACCTCCATGTGCAGAGTCCGTGCGTGGCAGGCGCATTACTTTGTGAACCTCCATGTGCAGATTTCGTGGCAGGCACAGCACTTTGTGAACCTCCATGCTTCTCCGAACCTCGACGGGGAAGCTCCGCGGAACGACGGTTGCGAGACGGTCTCGGGTCATGCTCGGATCATTCTCGGATCATGCTCAGAATCGTCCCTCCATTGTGATTAGAGGTTTCAGTTGTTTCTTGAAGTGCAGATTTCGTGGCAGGCACAGCACTTTGTGAACCTCCATGTGCACATGTGCAGAGTTCGTGGCAGGCGCAGCACTTTGTGAACCGCCATGTGCAGATTTCGTGGCAGGCGCATTACTTTGTGAACCTCCATGTGCAGATTTCGTGGCAGGCGCAGCACTTTGTGAACCTCCATGCTTCTCCGAACCTCGACGGGGAGGCTCCGCGGAACGACGGTTGCGAGACGGTCTCTGGTCTTGCTCGGGTCATTCTCGGATCATTGTCGGAATCGTCCCTCGATTGTGATTAGAGGTTTCAGTTGTTTCTTGACATGCAGATGTCGTGGCAGGCACAGCACTTTGTGAACCTCCATGCGCAGAGTTCGTGGCAGGCGCAGCACTTTGTGAACCGCCATGTGCAGATTTCGTGGCAGGCGCATTACTTTGTGAACCTCCATGTGCAGATTTGGTGGCAGTCACAGCACTTTGTGAACCTCCATGCTTCTCCGAACCTCGACGGGGAAGCTCCGCGGAACGACGGTTGCGAGACGGTCTCGGGTCGTGCTCGGGTCATTCTCGGATCATTGTCGGAATCGTCCCTCTATTGTGATTAGAGTTTTCACTTAAGTCTTGACGTGCAGATGTCGTGGCAGGCACAGCACTTTGTGAACCTCCATATGCAGATTACGTGGCAGGCACAGCACTTTGTGAACCTCCATGTGCAGAATTCGTGGCAGGCACAGCACTTTGTGAACCTCTATGTGCAGACTTCGTGGCAGGCGCGGCGCAGCACTTTGTGAAGCTTGAGGTGCAGATTTCGTGGCAGGCACAGCGCTTTGTGAACCTCCATGTTCAGATTACGTAGCAGGCGCAGCACTTTGTGAACCTCCATGTGCAGACTTCGTGCCAGACACAGCACTTTGTGAACCTCCATGTGCAGATTTCATGGCAGGCGCAGCACTTTGTGCAGATTTCGTGGCAGGCACAGCGCTGTGTGAACCTCGAGGTGCAGATTTTAATTTCGTGGCTGGCGCAGCACTGTGTGAACCTCCATGTGCAGATTTTGTGGCAGCGCAGATTTCGTAGCAAGCACAGCACTTTGTGAACCTCCACGTGCAGATTTCGTGGCAGGCACAGCGCTTTGTCAACCTCCATGTGCAGATTTTGTGGCAGGCACAGCGCTTTGTGACCCTCCATGTGCAGATTTCGTGGCAGGCACATCATCTGTGGAGCTGGAAGCTGAGAGGCGACTTTGTAGTACAACTTTAGTACGCGGACTCTCTGGCGAGCTGGAAGATGAGAACTGGCGACTTTGTAGTGCAACTTTAGTACGCGGAGTATCTGGGGACCCGGAAGATGAGAACTGGCGACTTTGCAGGACAACTTTAGTACGCGGAGTATCTGGGGAGCTGGGAGCCGAGAACTGGCGACTTTGCATTTGCACTTGAGTACGCGGAGTATCTGGGGAGCTGGAAGATGAGAACTGGCGACTTTGTAGTACAACTTTTAGTACGCGGAGCCATCTGGCGAGCTGGAAGATGAGAACTCGCGACTTTGTAGTACAACTTTAGTACGCGGAGCCATCTGGGGAGCTGGAAGCTGAGAACTGGCGACTTTGTAGTACAACTTTA